TGGAAAGTGGAGGTGAGTTGAGGGAAGAATTTAGCCAATTCATTATGTATCATGGTTAACGGGGAATTTAAAAGATGGTTAAAAAGGTTGGGAAAATGGCAATACTAATCATTGGCAAAAAATTACTGGAAAAGAATAAAAAAATGTAATTATGGAATTATTAAAATTAATAGAGGTGGTGGAGTTTAATGATTAAATGGAGGGATATTGATCCAAAGTAGGAAAATGGATTGAGTTAAGTGATGATTATAAAGAAAATTCATAAATTACATACAGTGGTGAATATAAAAAAGGTAAAAAAGTTGGTAAATGGGATACTTGGTATAAAGATGAGAGAGGAATAAAAAATAAATTGATGTAATTAATAAAAATAGTAAGTAGAGGGGGCGGATCATATGATGACATAAATTCGATTAAAATTGGAAAATGGATAGAATTGAAATATGGATTGAGAGATTTAGGCAGAGTAGTTTGTATTGGTAATTATAAAAATGGCAGCAAAACAGGAGAATGGCATTTTTAATTTAATAAATAAAAGATGTAAATATTAAAAAGTTATCACATAATATAGTGATGGTGGATGCTATGACGAAGAAGGTAAAGGAATTAAGATCGGAAAATGGACTGAGTTGAGCGATATTTTTGATGATAACAGTTAAAATATTTACTAAGGAGAATACAAAAATGGAAAAAAAATTGGAATATGGGAGTTGTTTAATATTTTCAAGAATAAACAATTGTAATGGATTGATTATAATTGAATTAAATATTTTAAGTATTAGTGATAATAATTCAATTCATTTTGCTTTGAATAAATTTTAGAAAATTTAGGTTTGGCTCACTAATGCAAAATATCAACTTGATCCACCTTTTTACATTATCTAATAGTTCTACAAGCTATTTCTATTAAAATCAATTTTCAGAGACGTTACTTAAAACAATAAATAGAAGCACTTTAAAATCAATATAATCAATATAACTAATATAACTATGTTTATTTTTGAATATATACAATTAGCAGTTTCAAATATTATCCCAAACTAGATGGATATTAAACCAGATTATCATGAATATGAGATTACACAAGATTGTGTCTATTTGAATTATACTTCTTATAAAAATACAAAGCCAAATCATTTTACAAATTCTTTTTGATAATTCATTCGTTTAATTTCGCTAATTAAAATTAACTTTAAATAAAGAAATTATTTTTTCATAAAATGAATTCAATTTTACGATTTAAACAAATTTATTCATTCCATAAGATCTGCAATCAATTGATCTTACATCAGTAGTAACACAACCTTAATCTTGTCAAAAAATAAAATTGCAGAATTAATATCATCTAAATATGGATATTGAATCAAACCACATATGAAAATTTATTTATTACATGATAGGTGACTCAAACAGAATAATTAAGAAGTAATTCTATAAAATGAGTGGGTAATTTTACTGATTCAATTTGCTTTAAAAACAATTTAGAATTCTAAAAAGTTATGTGTTAACCTCTTATCTATAAGATTTCCAGGCCTACTTGGAGGATTAAAATTTGATATTTTTTATTTATTTATTCTACAATATAAACGAAAAGACTATAATATTGAATCTGAATGGAACATTGATATCTAACTTTCTCAGAGCAAACTATAATTCCAGTCATTAGGCGGGGAAGAATCTAGAAGTGGAAAAAGAAAATGCGATATAATTAATGAAAGAAAATTTGGCCGATGGATTACCTTTAACTAAAGGTGAGAATATACTAAGTGTTTTATTTGAGAAAATTATTCCACGAAATGGATTTCAATTGGGATAATGGATTGAATAATGAGATACCCATTTGAACTCACATATCCCATAATTGTTAATGGTTTAGCAAAAATTTTTCAAATAGGACAATATTAGAGAAACTTAGAATTGGAAAGTTGATAATAATTCTAAAGGAGTTAGATGTAAAATCGTTAGAAAATGGTTTATCTGATTAATAAGGACTGAAATTGAAAAATCGATAAATTGGTGAAGGATAATTTTTGGTTTCATAACAAACGTATAATGCTGAATAAAATAAAAAAATTTGCTGAATCGGAAATAAAGCCTATATATTCATGCTTTCTTACATCTCTATAATGGTAATTTTATTTAAATTTTCTTTACTTTATATTATGGTGGAGGATGATCCCATGAAGATGCATTGATTCTTTATAATAGTTAAAAATGCTACTATAAACCACCTCGTTTAACTTTTTGAAAACAATTTTTTTTTGAAAAGGGAATTATCATTTATTT